AAATTAATGACTTATTATTTATATCAAAAAATCCGTTATTCTAGTTATAAAAACTAAACAGATGTCTAATAAAAGTATTATAATTATTTTTTATAAATTTTGCATTTAATAACAATATGAAAAATATGCATTGAAATCAATTAGATCATTCACCATCGAAAAAAATCTACGTATTCAAACTAAATATAGACAATTTTTATATGTACTATTACTGAATATTATTTTACCGTAGTAAATAATAATAAGCAAAAAAAATAACCGAATTTAACTTCCAAGTTGTATGTATATTTGTATTATGTGAATGTGAATCATAATAGTCATATGTAATAAGAAATAATTATAATGATACGTATTTAAGAATTAAAAATTCATATTACATAAATTATTACATAGTCTATCCCTAATTCATTCAGAAAATAACTTCAGCAGATAAAAATAATTTCGGAATTTCGACAGGTGAAAATAATTTTGTCAGATAAATTAATTTCGGAATTTCGCCAGGCGAAATTAGGCGAAATTAGTTTCGCCAGATGGCATTTTGAAGCATCATGGCGAAAATACAAAGCATATCGCCATACGTCTGCCGTAAATCATACATATTTTAGACACACTCATGTATAATTAGGAGTACGTATAATAAAAAAGAGAAATCTCCATCCAATAAAAATTATTGAATTGGACATACGAGGGGAAGTCAATAGAAAAGGGACAAATCATTTTTAAATTGAATTATCTAATTAAATTTGATAAAAAAATTTTTTTATTTTAATCTTGTTGAGATATTTAAATTTAAAAAAAAACTTTTAGAAAAAATTTGTCCCTTTCCCCATATGTCTGATTAATGAATTGGATATATGCTCAATCAGCTTTATAATTTTGGACATTGTTCAATGTCTAATGGTCCAAAAAAATTATTTGGACACTTGGACTATGTCAAATGTCCAATTGAATTTACTCTGGTTACGGAATCTTTGTAATCTCTTATGTGACGATACTTTTAAAATTCAAAATTTTCTTATGTTATTCTATATATAATCTTATAAATCAGGGCTACCGAATAATTGATTTTGAAGACAATTAATTGCAATTATCTGATCTCAATTAATTGATTGGTGGCGCAGCCACAATTAAACAATTAATTGCAATTTTTGCCGCAGTTTGTAAATGTGATAACTTGCTGATCTTGACGTCAAAATTATAGGCAAACAAAAGTTTATTACCGGTATATGATTTAATAAAAAACAAAAAGTTTATATGATTAAATAAAAAAAAGAAGCTTATTTTAATTAAAAAAAAAAAAAAGTTTATATGATTAAATAAAAAAAAAGAAGCTTATTTTAATTAAAAAAAAAAATTTATATGATTAAAAAAAAAAAAAGAAGCTTATTTAAATAAAAAAAAAAGAAGCTTATTTAATTAAAAAAAAAAAAGCATATATGATTGAATAAAGAAGAGTTTTTTTTTTTATAAAACCCATGTATACTGAAATAGCACTCTAAGTTATTATTTTTAAATTGATTATAATGAGCACAAAACTTTCTAACAAATGTTATATTGAGGCCTTTTTTCGACCTGCAAATGACAGCAAGTATCACTGTGATTTATGCCCTCCTGGATCACAGCTGATAACCCAAAAAAGAGGATCAGGCTACACTAATTTAATAAACCATTTAGAAGCAAGATACAAAAACTATAAGTTGATTTACCAACAGCAAATTGAAAATGCCTCTACATCAAATTCTATTATGTTTAACTATAGCACAAGTGTGCTCAACATTTTTAACTGGGTGAGCCTTATTGTAAAGTGTCAATTGTCTTTTAATATATATATGTGAGAATCCTGATTTTATCTCACATACCAGTCTTTCAAAATTGGATGTTTCTATGGTTGGCAAGTATCTTAATGGTTTAGCAAATAGTGTACGAGAGAGAGTGAAAACCATTTTGCTAGAAAAAATTAGCATTATGTTTGATGGATAAGCAAATAATGGTATTCACTTTGTTGAGATATTCAGAATCTATCAAACTGTTCATGAATCTAGGAATTTGGTTTTGTTGGCATTTTCACCCTTTAAAGATCGCACTACAACAAAATGCAGATGTGTATATTAGATTTTTTGAAGATGTATTAGAATTATATGGAAAAAGTGTTGAAAATGTTCTTTTTCTTTCAGATGATAATTGTAATACAAACTGTAAGATAGCTAATGAGTTGGATCTTTCACTTGTTGGATGCGCATCACACCATCTAATTTTGACTGTCAACGACCTTATTAGTACTTCATTTACCCTTATAAATCAGATTTGTACAATTGTATATATGATATAAACTTATAAGAATCATGAAAAACTTGCAAAAGTGACATCGTTGAAACCCATATTGGACAATGCAACATGTTGGATGAGTGTTATAAAAATGATTAAATGATTTAAGGAACTTGTTTCTCACATTACTCAGGCCAACAGATTTTCAAATTATGATTTTTTTTATTTTTAATTTATTTTTATTTTTTATTTTTATTTTTATTTTTATTTTTTTTATTTGATTTTTTTTTTATTATAAATTTTTATATATATACAGGTTGTGATATTTTGTTGGTTGAGCAATTGGATCTCAATGAAGTTGATCACTTAATCAAATGGCTTAAATATTTTTCTAAAACAACTAATGACTTACAAAGTAATTCTATAAATCTGAACAATGTTCGTGTATACTTCAATTTGTTAATAGAGGAATGGGATATTCTATAAAATAGGTAGGCAAACTTCGCCAACTCTGCAACTCCGATATTAAAAAATTAATGATTACTAATCATTAGCAAAGCTTATTTCTTATATTGCCTACCTATTTTATAGAACATCCGAGGAATGTCCAGAATTAAAAAGTTGGCTAGAAAAAAGTATATTAATAATCTACAATCCAGTTTTTGAAAAGGCTGTAATCAGAGTTCTTTGTAAACATGAAACTGTATTAACACTAGATTAGTATTCCAAGTTGGTAAAAATTTTGCCAATCAATTAGTTGCTAACTATCACTATCGCTATAGTTGCAATTAATCGATTTGTCCTATCATATGACAAAAATCATTGATTAACCAATCAGCCTAAAGAAATTAACACAAATTAACCCAAATAGACAGAATATCTTAAAATTAAACTAGTTGATAATTTAATCGATTAGTTGTTTTAAAATTTTTGAAATTGATTAGTTGAAAAGTTATCAACTAGTTAATTTTTTTTAACTAACAATTTGGATCATTATATTAAATGAAGAGCAAAAGCTTGAAGCATTTATTGTTGAGCAGCCAATTGTAGACGAAAGTCCCTTGACTATGAAGGAACGAGTTGCGAAAAAATGAAAATTAGAAGAATCGAAATACATGGATATGAATATCATTCCTTCTACATCCAATACAGTAGAACCTTTATTTTTACTTGTAAAGTATTATTATATGGACTGAAGAAAGTCTCTTGATCCATATACCTTGAAAAATCTTCTATTGCTAAAAGTAAATGGTAAAATGTGGTCAATCCAAGACATTCATCAAATTAAACAATAATTTCTATATGTATATTCTTACTACTATATTTTTGTAATAACTTTTTGAGATTTTTATTATAAAAATTGCAATTAATTGCAATTATTTCACAATTAATTATTTTGCAATTGTTGGTTTGTAACAATGTTGATTGACCATAATTGCATGATAATTTAATTGCAATTAAATTTTCGGTACCCCTGTTATAAATTAAAATAAAAAAAATTTCATCAAGTTTGACTTGTTTGTCAGAAACTTTTTAAGAAAAAATTGAATGTCAAAAAGCTTTACAATTGTATTTTTTAAACAAATTTCTTAATCCTACAAATCTAAAATTGTAATAAAATTTTTTATTCGAATCTGGTCCAGTAATGTTGAAAAGCCTTTAAGTTTTAAAAAATTTCATATGTTCTTTAAAAAACAACGTTATGATTTTATGTTTAAACAAAATTTCTCAATATCTAATTTTGATAAAAATTTTCATCGAATTTTGGTAAAAATACAATTGTAGTTGATATTCAATATTTGAAATTTAAGCGAATATTTCTCGATAACTGCTAGGCAAAATCAATAAAAATTGTATTTTAATTCTACAAGTTTGTAAAATTAAAATAAGAGAAATTCTATTTTGACCCGGGTCAAATTATGGGACTAGCAATGCCAGGCAAAAAAATTTCGCTCTTATTTGAAACCAATAAAAAAATTTTCGCTAAGAAAAGAAGTTTCGCGGTTAGGTTAGGGGTAGGGTCTTACTAAAAGGTTAGGTTTAGAGGGTTATAGTTATACCAAAATTTTGCAAGGAAAACTTTTTGTTAGTGCGCAGAAGGCAGTTTCATAGGTTAAATTTTGAGTTATGAGCGATTTTTGACAAAACGAACGTTTGTTTTGAATTTTCCTGATCGTGCAACGTTACACCTGATCTTGAAATTTGATTGGCCTGCGAAATTTTTTAGACTGGCATTTTAAACACTGTTGGTCAAATGACCCCCACCTAGAATTTAGGGTTAGTGCAGGCCAGAATTAAGTTAGTTCCGGCCGGGTTTTATTAAATTAAAAAATCCTGGCCGGCATCAATATAATTCTGGTCCGCACTAACCCTAAAATGTTGCTGAAGGTCATTTTGACCCAGGTCAAAATAGCCTTAAAATAAATAAATAAATAAATATATAGCTTATATATCGTTATATATGATTAGGTAGTTATTTAGATACATTTATCAAGGATCTGCCGCGCATTTTTCAATTCTGAAGGCCATGCCCTGCCCGGTTGAACACTATAAATATCTCATTCGTGGAACCCTAAAATCTATAAACAAATTTTAATATTCTGATGCGAGGAATTGTAAATGTTAATTTTATAATTTCAGGATTAGGTATTTTAAAATCAAATATTACACATTCCCATTATCCTAATTTTACAAACTTAAAATTTTTCCATAACTTTCAAAAACGTTCCGGCATCATGAAAACAAATATATTAGTCTATACTCCTCAAAAAGATACTCAATCTCAGCCTAATATCATCAATCGTTTAAAATCTATTATAGGGAACAATTACGATATAATTCATGTTGATTCTAAAACGTTAAGCGATGAGCCGTGGCAGGATACAATTTGTTGTTTAATTGTACCTAATATAGACATTGATATTAATTATGATGAATTAAATAATAAAGCGAATAAGAAAATTAAAGATTATGTTTTTGGAGGGGGGAATTATTTGGGATTTGGTTCTGGCGTTACATATGCTACAAAAGATTTAGAAAATCAAAGAGGTCAGAATAATCTTGATTTCTTTTGTGGTGTTTATAAGAAAATAGATCTGTCAACTAATTCAAGTACGGTCGTGGAATTGATGCCACTATTGACAAATCAAAATAATGAATCTTCAACACTCTCACAACAGATTCAATTATCTATTGGTGAAACTTTAAGATATTTTGAAGATGCTGAAAATTTTTTAAATATTAAAATTTTGGCACGTTATAAAGATCTATCACAAGCAGCGATAATTCAATGTGAAATTGGCAGTGGTAAAGCTATACTTTGTGGTATTGATCTTTATTCAAGTTTAATTTCTGAGCAAAGGAATCAATTGGTGCGGTTGCTACTATCAATGTTTGAAATAAAAATGGCACAGTCAGACATTATTATTCCTAAATTAAGTTCAACTTTTTATTTATCTTCTTTGAGACCTGCATTAACAGATCTTTGGGTTCGTGGAGTAAGCTCTTTAATGGATTCGGATGGAATTATTAAAATTGGTGATGTTTCTTTTCGTCTAATAGTTAGTTCACAGAAATCTTCCTCACATCAACTAGAAGAGCCAAGTACTGTTAATGATAGTGTGATAAAAATAGAAGCATATAATGAACCACCACCCACATCAGTAACTCCTTTGTTCAACTTTAAAAAGTTTTTTGAACATCTTAGTGATGATAGGAATGTGTTATTCGGTTGGAATCATAATTTGGATTTTGGATCAACTTTGCTGTATGGCGAAGTGTTAACAAGCACTCAAACATTATTGGCTAAGTAAGCAATTAGTCGAAATGATTTTCTTATTTTGAATATACATTATGTTTAGGCTAATTTTTTTTTCTTGTCTTGATAAAAAGTGATTTTAAGTTCACACAACAACTACCAACCGGATTTGTTTGTGTGGCAACACAGCAAGTTCAAGGACGTGGCCGTGGAAGGAATTCGTGGATTTCACCACCTGGATGTTTACAATTTTCTATTATGTTGAGACATTCGTTAAAACTTAATCCAGGATCCATAGTTTTTATACAATACCTATTATCATTGGCTGTCGTTGAAGCAGTTAGAACAAAACAAGGTTATGAGGTATTTATTTATTTATTTATTTTTATTTAATGGTTTATATCATATAATTGTTACAATATTTATTAATTTATACTTAGAATATACCATTGAGACTTAAATGGCCGAATGACATTTATGCGGAAATTTCATTAGATGAATCTTCCAAACCTGAATTTGTTAAGATCGGTGGTGTTCTTGTTAATTCCAATTTTATTAAGGATGAATTTCTCATAATTGCAGGTATTTATTTTATAATTTGTGATTTATGAATTTACATAATATAAACTCATTCATAATATTTAACAGGTTGTGGTGTAAATCTAACAAATCCTGAACCTACAACTTCAATTAATCGGCTAATAACAACTTACAATAAATCGGTGCATAGTTCAAAAAAATTACTATTATTTTCACAAGAACAACTTTTATCTTTGATTCTAGTAAATTTTGAAAAACTTTATAAAGAATTTTATCAAAATGGTCATGGATATGAATCATTTTTGGATATTTATTATAAAAGATGGTTACATAGGTATTTGTTTATTTGTTAATGTTATATCATTAACCAATGCTGACTATTACCCTATTTATCTTTAGTGATCAAGTAGTTGTATTAGAGACACATAATAACCAAAAGGCCACAATATTAGGAATAACGACAGACTTTGGATTCTTGAAAGCTATGGTTATTAATACAAATGAGATTGTTATGTTACAACCTGATGGAAATAGTTTTGATATGATGAAAGGTTTGATTAGTCGTAAGGCATAACTCAATCAAAAAGCCAGACGATACTTTAATAGCAATGATAATCATCAAAAATATTGTATATGTTATTATAAATAAATTTAATTGTACAAAATTTTTTAAATTTATCATTTCTGGACAGTGTCATAATTTGATTTGAGGCGCTCTCAAGCAGCTCTATTAATGTTATTTATCAAATTTTAGCCAGAGTAACTATAAAAAAAAAGGTATGCACATCCTAGAGATGCAGGCAAAACTCCGTAACTTGTCATAACATAATAATGTTATGGCAAAAATGTAATTATTACAAGTTGCAGAGATAATTACAAGTTATGGAAGTTTCGACTGCACCCATATTTTACTTATCACTTCGACTTCTGATTAATTAAAATTTTGCATCGATCCATAGTAATATACTGAAAACACTCTTAGCATAGATGAACCAGGTATAACTACCAATTAGAGATGCAAGTCGGCTTTTGGCTTTATTGGTTACTGAATCAATGAGTTTCCAAATTCGTAATTTATCGATTCAGTCATCAGAGAATTTTTCAGATGTCAGAGTTTATAAAACAGCTGTGCTGTAATCATTTTATTGTCGATAACTGAATTAATTAGCTTTTTGATTTTGGCCAACATTAGTAACTTATGGTTCCGCTATCACTAGAAAATGCTCAGCTATCCCAGAATTTATGAAATAAATTTATTTTCATGCTCTAATGTTAGCTAGTGATTTTAGTAATAAATTCATATCCCTAACGTCAATTTAGCGTGATTTAGTGATCATTTGATTGACTGGGCATGGAAATTGGGGCTCGAAAATAATTTTCATTTATGAAAATAGCTGTAATTCCTGATCACTATATCAAAATCACAGGGTATTATTACAAATGCAAATAAATGTATACTAAAAATTGTAAATTTATAATCATAAATAACTGGTAGTGCTGGAAGCACCGGGCTGGTAGTAATATGAACAGGTACAACTGCAATGCAAGGACATTAAACACCAACCAATTCGGACGAAAGCTGGTAATACATGTCACGAACCTAGTTGGGAGTAACAACATTACACTATATAGCCTGTACCCAACCAACACACAGGAGCCTCTATATAAAGGTATAGAAGACACACATACTAACTCCAGTTCAATGCATAAATGCTCTCTAATAGTGTTTAGATCCGAAATCTGACTGTCTGAATTGATCCTTAAATCTAGATAAATTTAGATATTAAGGTTAGAGATTTTTATTCGGATTGGTCAAGAAATTTATATAACGAACCTAAGAGTGTACACAAAAGCTGATTTTATATATAATTTAATACATATTCAATCCAGATTTAATAGAATCATGGCCTGTTAAAAATAGGATCGAAACACTACTCTCTAACTATGTATTAGTGTGGCAGCTTAGTTGCATAAGGGGTTGTCTAGTAGAAGGTAGCAAGGCTGTGGAGCTTAACTATTGAAGAAATGAATAGAAAAACTCAGGCTGAATTTAAGAACACAAAAGAGAGAATATAAATTAATACTAGCAGAGAGAGTTGGTTAGAGTCATCATTAAGTTAGAAAGTACATCATGAGAAGTATGAAGGCCTAGGCTTGATAGGGATTTACCTGCTTAGGAGTTGCTCTGGATAGGTATGAAAGATGTAGGGGATATATTAGTAAATTAAAGACAATTATAGTCATAATATAAAAAAATCCAAATATGAGTAATAGTACAGAATTAGAATATATTTGGTGGTTTGCATTAAAGAATAAATTAGTTCTAAATCATAGTTTAAATTGTAAAAAGACTGATATATACTGTAAAATGTAATTATTGAAAATATACAATAATAAAGTTTATAGTTAAAGATGTTATCTTAAAAAAAAAATAATAATAATTAGTAGTTTTTAATTGATATTTCATTTACTTAATTTTAATTTAGAATAATTTATTAATTGTTTACAGTACTATATAAATATGACAATCTGTAATTATTATTATTATTTTAATTCTCATAAAGCAATAGCAAAAATAATACCATTTTGCTACTATGAGTTAATATTATTATAAAATATTTTATTTTGAAATTTTAATATGTAACCTAGTGTAGTTGATAGGTTGTCACTAGAGATGCTGAAAAAATTATGTGATGCTAAATCATTACACACTATATCTTATATATATTGTATATAACTTTAAAAAATTATTAGTTATTTTCTTGTGATTATATAGCATTATATAGTTTTCTTGGCATCTCTAGTTGTTACTTTCCAAATGATAGAACAAGAGTTCAAATTCTACTGATAACAAAATTTAAATTTATATTTAATCCTGCAACATTTGTAACTACTTTATTAGTTTTTACTTCATCCTCTTTTTTACTAACTGTCAAGAGCTAACTTAATAATCTTGAAAAGCCTGCTAATAAATGAAGAAGTTTTTCAAACTACAGTAAAGCCAGATTTTACAAATACTGGTTCAAATAAGATCTTTAATATTCTTTTTATCAACTTCAACTAGTTTTGAGTAATACAATAATTATGATAATATAGATTAATTTCTACAAAATTTTTTTACTTATAAAAACTTTTTTGAAAAAATCAAAAAAGAAAAAAATTTGTAAATCCTTTAAATTTATAAAGCAACAAAAAAAGAAAAAAGAATGCAATATTTCTTTGTCTGAAGCTAATTATAATAATACAAAGTAGTATTGTGATAGCTAATACAAATATTTAATGATTTATAAAATTATGAAACTTCATAAATTTGTAAATTTATTATTATACTGTATATGATTGCAATCAAATATCCCAATTATCTGGCAAACTTATATAATCATGAATTTATTTTGTTTTGCTAATCTTTTTGTGCATTATTATTATTATTTTTTTTTTTTTTTTTTTTAAGGTGTCCTTCGGGACCGAGCTTTATTGATGTTTAACTGTTGACCACGTGGGTCTTACATTTAGTATTACAACGAGAGTACA